AATTAATTATTTTATAAAATATTATTATTTTCAAAAAAATTGATGTCTCGCCCATGAGACACTTACCCAAATACTTCATGGTAGAAGTACTCAATTTTAACATGTATTTGTTAGGTGCGAGTGGGGCACCAAATAAAAGTATTTCTTCAGGTGGTTCACTTGTTCTAAGTAATATTATTCATACAATAAACAATTTTAAGGTTGTTTCTAACGTGCACCCTATCATCAAATGGTTCACACGTAAACCATGTTATTTAGATGTTAAAAGAATGTGGTTCATGGGTGGTGAATGCATTTAGTACCATTAGATCTATTATAAAAAGAATTGAACATACTAGATTAATCAAAGTGCTTCTAACATGAAGTAGTTGAGCACATGCCTCATCCATAAGGCAGTAAAATGATCGGCAATAGCAAGTTTTTTAACTTGTTTATAATTACAAAATAGTCCTTATGTTATATGCGGAGGCACGGTGGAGGCGTGGTGGCAGCAAAGACATAGTGGTAGCGGAGGTGTCATCTCCTTTCACGGTGGTGGTAGTGGAGGCGTGACCACCTTCGCGCGATGGCAACGGAGGTGGGTACCTTCAGTTAGTGGTAGCGAAAGTGCAACCTCGTTCGCGCGGTGGAAGCGAGCCGCGGCTCCTTCAAGCGGTGGCAGTAGAAGCGCAACTTTGTTCGCGTAGTGGTAGAGGAGGTGCTGTCTCCTTCCACGGTGATGGCAGCGGAGGGCGTGACCTTCTTCGCGCCTAGCTTGCCCTCGACGACCTCGTAGTCGCACTCGCCGTTTTCGTCTTCCTCGTCGTCCTTACCACCAGCGTCGTCTTCACTCCTCTCTACAACATCGCCACCGGCCTCCTCTTCGACCTCCCCATGCCCGTCCAGCCCATGAAGTCCATCACTGTCATCGCCATCTCCGCCTCCCCGCCCTTCACCATACCCCAAATCTCCATCGCAGGCCTCTCCGTCGGCGCCGTCCTCCTCCTCCTCGGTGCCACCGGCCTCACCGCTATCTCTCCCTTCCCGTCGTCCGTGGCGTTCAACTCTTCCAGGGCTTCTCCTTCGTCTTCTCCGCCATCAACTACATCTGTTACGACCAAAACCTCGCCACCTCCAAATCTGGCCCTCCCCGCCCCTGGCTCTCCCTCGACAGCCTAGCTGTTGCACTCACCACTGTCGTCTTCCTCGTCCTCACCACCAGCGCCGACAACCACCCCCACACCCTCACCACTACAAGAAAACTAAAACAGGGACTAATATGCAAAATACAAAAATATTATTTTCCAAGTTATCGGTAACAAATCTGAACTGTCAATTATTATATTATTAAATCTAATGGTTAAAAATAGTGCTTTATCCATGTACCACATTTCATACTGGTTCATATTAGAATTTTCGGACTAATCATGTGTTTCCAACTATAATTTTTAAATTAAAATTATATGATATAATAAATGACTCGTTTGACCTTGAGGTTTACAAAGAACATTAATAATTTTGGAACAACACTAATGAAGACATGAAAACCACACTGACAAACTCAAATTGCAAGACGAAGCTACAATGTCAGTTAAATTTTTTTGTTGTCCGTTTGTTTGGAAGAAGTTGTTGTCATGTAGAAGCCCACAAAAATGGGCATCGAAAAGATATTTAGTTGAGTTTTCTCTTTATTTTTTTTATAAAAATAAAAAACACAAAAATGTTTCATATTTTTCCCAAGCGAAAATAAAGGGTTAAAAAATAATCAAGTGCAAAAGCTTGTAGACTTTACTCAAGACTAAGGAGGGGAAAACTATTCCAAATTGTTCAAATTTGATAGGAAATGTCGAAAAGTTGAAGATGTCCATGCAAGGGGTATCTCCTTGCAACTTCTTTCCATTCTTGAAATACCTTCATTTGAATCCAGTTGACATGATTGAATCCATGTTATTAATTTTTGAGTTATGGTATGAGAAAAAGGAAGAAGTAACAACAACTATCACAGAAGTCACAAGGGAGTAGAGATGTGTGTGGTTCAATCCTCTATATTTTCGATGGCGATTGAACAGAGGGTTTACTAGTAATTTTAAAACAAATAAAAAACATAAAGAAATATTGAGTTATTGTAGAATGAACCATCGGTGAATCACATGCTATACCTGTTCACCCAAGCAATTGTCCAATTTTAAATCTCGAAAACTACACAACTAAAAATTAGCATAATCATCAAGTTATTTGAAGTTAACATTTACCTTTAAATGCTTAGTCCTACACAACACCATAACATACAAAATTTTTGCAAAGGTTTAGTTCCTTTATCGTCGATTTAGGTTGTGTACAGGTAGAAGTATTGTTAGTTCCGAAGAGAGCTTCAACACCTCCACGCGCCAACACAAGCAAATCGTGCCGATACCACCGTAATCGGGGCCACTCCACCGAGGAATGCGCAGCCCTGAAAGACAAGATCAAATATTTAATAAAACAGGGATGGCTCCAAAACTTTTTCGATCGGTCAGATTCCTCTCGGTCTGGTCATCAACCTCGGTACCACAGCCACAGGCAAGAATGCTCAGACCGGCATCGACGCGAGCGAAGCCGTTCAAGGGACAGAAAAGAAGAACCATAGACTACGCATAGGCACGACATCAACACAATTGTCGGAGGGTTCACAGGTGGAGGATCGACATCTTCAGCGCAAAAATGACACTTGAGAGCGCTTCGGGCGGT